TTTAATTGCAGAGAGCTGAGAAACCAATACAGTTAATATATAAGTAATTAGTATTATCCCAAGTAGAAAAAATAGAAGAAAGTTTGTTGAAAATTTAAATGAAGTCTCTTGGAGTTCTGAATTATTAATACACTAACTTATAAAAAGAGTCCATTAATTAATTGATGGCCTGACAAGGAGAAATAAACAGTCCCCTGATTTTGGAGAATTTCCTAAAACATCTTCAAACAGTCTCTGGACATCTGTTTAAAATGATCTGCCCCTCTTTAACTTTGTCCTTCCTGCTAATTGGCCTAGAGGTGAAGGACATGTTTTGACCAAGTAGGTATTATATTATTCACAGTGCTTAAGTCTTTAAGGCTCAGAGTGCTGGTGACCTTGAGAAAATTCTATGGTTAATGAGCATCATTAACTGAGTGACATTGGCCACACAACTTAGAGTTGTTCTTTTTTTTTTTTTTTCCTTAATGGACAACATCAGTTAGAATCTCAGAGTGTCCTTTTAAAGCCTTGAGAATGTATGTGGAATTGAATTTATGATTTAACCCTAGTTCTTTTGTGCAAACTGAGTCAATGATCAATGTTTGTTCCACATACAGAAACTCAGTCAAGAAAAAATGCTTCAGCCTCCCTTGTCTCATACTCAACAATTGCTTAATGACTGTCAGTCATTCCCTCAGACTTACCTGAATTTAGATGATGGATAGTGGAACCTCATCTGAGATATTTAAAAAAACAAACAAACAAAAAGACCCAAAAATTTGGGTTTTTTTGGAACAGTGTGTTTCTCCAGGACCCATCGGCTCCAAGTCAAATAGTTGTTTCGATCTAGTTGTGGAGGGCACAGCTCAGTGGCCCATGTGGGGATCGAACTGGCAACCTTGGTGTTATGAGCACTGCACTTTAACCAACTGAGCTAACCTGCCGCCCCTGGGGTTTTGTTTTTTTTCACGTTGAAAATCAAATATCCCAAACCTGAACTCTGAGGTCAGACTGTCTGCAAGAATAGCAAAGTCTAGGAAGAAAAAGTCAATGGATTTTGATAGAAATTTCAGTGAGCAACTTTTGGTCACATTTTTTCAAGGAGAAACTTCCCTAAAAAACATCCCTTGCTTGTGGCCCAGAGATAAAATGTGAGGGATTACCAATTTTGTTTGTTCATAGATTCTGGTAATTTCTATAGTCCTTTCCTTCTTGTAACTGCCTATTCTTTTATTGTAAAACAATTTAGAATCAACTTGAAAGCAAAGAGACAGGTTTCTACTATTTGGATGCTGCCAAAAGTGTGTGTGTGTGTGTGTGTGTGTGTGTGTGTGTGTATGGATATGTATTTGATTTTTTTTTCCTCGGAACAAAAGCACTTTAAGTTGCACTGTGTATGATGAAAAATGCTTCTTACTAGACATTTTCTTGTACTTGAATGGACATGGGACCCATCTGAGCAAACGGCTCATGTCCCAGCAAGGGAGCAGAGTGTGCCTGGTTAGATCAGGCAAATGCAACTTTCCTTATTCCTTTTGCCGCTCAAGAGAGGACATTGTCCTTGATGAAGAGAGAATGGAAGAGGGGAGGGAGGCCCTGATGGATGTCAGAGGTGAAGCATTTAATGTGGAGCCAGGTCAGCATGGAGTCCTCTTGACCATAACTGCTGTCACTCACTGACTTAGGGCGGAACTACCCTGAGAGCTGAAAGGCTGCAACATTTCCTTCCCTTGTGGAATAATCCAGTTTAAGAACTCTGAGTGTATATCCCTCTGCAGCTTTCTGACAGCTCGCCTCCCTCAAGGGGAAAACTAAATTGGATTTAGTCCTTGTTCTCTGTTTGCAAATAAATTCCTTCCTGATAAATAGGGTTGCTGGGCTATGAGCTGACTGTGGCTCCAGGCACTGGGCAACAGTGTTTCTTCCTGTGTGAATCTCTAAGGATCCCTCTACTGTGGTCTGAAGGTGTTCCCCCAAATTCATATCCCCATACTGTGTTTCCCCAAAAATAAGACCTAACTGGAAAATAAGCCCTAGTGTGATTTTTCAGGGTGCTTGTAATATAAGCCCTATCCCAAACATAAGCCCAGTTAAGATCGTCAGCCAGACATGACTGTTGGAATAAATGTAGATTTTCGTACATGAATAAATGAATAAATGTAGATTGTTGGAGTAAAACTTAACATAAGACCCGGTCTTATTTTTTGGGGAAACATGGTAGATGATGGTATTAGGAGCTGAGGCTGTTGGAAGGTGCGTAAATCATCAGAGTGGAGCCTTTATGAGTGGACTTTGTGCCTTGTAACAGCCTCCGGATAGACCTCTTGCCCCTTCCATCAGGTAGGGATACAACTCAGTCTATGACCTAGAAAAATCCCTCACTCTTGTACTTCCAGCTTCCCGACCTGTTGTTTGTAAGCCATGCCACCTGTGGTTTTTCGTTACAGCAGACCAAACGGACAAAGGCACGTTTCCACCTCCTCCCTATCCTCCCTTTCTCCCCCTCTCCCTCCTCTGATAGAATTCCATCGCTCTGAATTCATTAGTGCATTTGTTCATTTAGCAAAAACATATTTCCTCAGTGCCTACTTTGTGCCATGCACTGTCTTTGGTTCTGGGACGGTAATGCAAACAAAGCAGACAGTTCTCTACCCTCAGGGACCCTACCTTCTAGAACTCTCTGAAGTTTTACTGAACCCTGGCTTTTCCATCACTCATTTTGAAAATTTTGGCCCAGTTATTTAACGGAGCTGTGCCTTGTTTTCTTCATTGTACACTGTGGATAATATTAATACTTACCCCAACTGGCCTTTATACGGCTAAATCGAGATAAAATATGAGTATGTTCAGCATTTAGAAGCAGAGTGTGTGGTTATGAGTTAGTGTGCGATACGTGTTGTTATTCTCATTGTTGTTGGCGCTATCATCACGTTCTTTCTATCTGAGATGCATATTACCTCATCATTTGCCTGCTGACCTGAGAGACCACTTTCCCTTGTGCCTCATTTTCAGGACAAGGGGGCAAGCAGGAGGGAACCCTGACTAAAACTGTCATGAGACTGGCGCATGACTGTTGTGGGGAAAAGCACAATCTAAGCACACCTTCATGTGGTCACCCCAGGGTCCTGCCAGGAAGATTGGAAACCAGCACTTTTTATATTCAAAGAGGCATGCGAGCAGAAACAAATCAAAGTGAGGCTAAGGGATGCTTTGTGAATGCATAGATTGTTTGCACAGTGGCAAAGTCACTGCTTTTACAAAGGGCAGCCAGCCACTCCCTCATCTGTATTTATACTGCGCAGAAGGCGGGAGCATCTCCTCTACTTGCCCATTTCCCCATGCTTTAAAACTTTTTGATTTTGGTGAAAGAGGTAAATCATTTCAGATATGAGAAAGACATACCCAATTCTACGTCGGCAGTGTCCCTCTGTCCTGCATGCCTTGCAGGTGACTTTCCTGGTTTCTGACAAGCATCATGATGAATCACTAGCTTGGGGTAACTTGTGTTTCTTCACACCATTGATTTTTAGGAAAATCCAAGCTTTCAGAAGCTTGGAGAACCATGTATTAAATGTCATTTTTCCTTAAAGGAACACTATCCAGGGAAGAAACAATCACCATACTTTATACATTCATTAAATCAATGACATATTTCTTAAAATGAAAAGAATGTTTAAAGATGATCTTTTTAACATAGGGGGAAAGCAAATCCTAACGTTTTACATTAGTTTTTGATAAACCTCCACATGTAGTTTACTCTTAGAGTAAGGCTGTCTCAATTAACTTGTATTATTAATTATTAAACCAAATTTACTGCATAGGTGATACCTATTTTGGTGAACCAATACTGTTATGCAAAGAAAATGCTTAATTTTTCTTACCCTAAGTTTTTTGTTTCTAAATTAATATTCTTCACAAGTCTTTGGCCACTCGGTCCTGGGGTGATGATTTTGATTTTTGGTAATCTGGGTGTGAAACCTTGACAAAGGTGTATTTGGAGTTTATTTTGGTTACTATTGCTGTTTTCCTTTTTTTCACAGGCACCTCCTAAAAGTGGGTTCTAGCCCTTCTCTGTCATAGACCAAGCATGTGACTTTGACCACATAATTTAGCTTCTGAAGGCTTTGCTGTCTTCATAAGTAAAGGGAAGGCCTGAAATTTGTGATCTCTAAGGTGTTTTTGCCATCTCTAAACCTCCCTAGATCTATTTAAATCCATTCTTTCCTCTCCCCGCCCTCCCCCTCCCCCCCCATGGGAGCTACAGTGTCTGAAATTTAATAATTAAAGTACCTAGGTTTATTCCCTAAGCAAGGCAGAAATCAGGTTCAGTGCTCTGAGTAAGTAATTTAAAAGACATGAGCAATGAAATGCACTTGACACTAAAACTATATTGACTCAAAATTAATTCTCCTTTGGTGCCTCAGAAGGCACTCCCAGCTATTGGAAAGTTTCTGGCCATGCTGGGCATCCTGTCCTCAGTGCAGATGCAATATTAGACTGGAGTCCCCTGTTTGTTTGTTTTTTAATTTTAATTGTCCAAATAAATTGCAATATCAACACATTTACTTGTCATCTGTTTCTATCTCATCAAGTATAGGGCAGAGAGAATAAAACTACGATATTCAAGTATTCTGGTTGTCAGAATTTCATATTAAGGACTCTTTATTTTATGGGTTCCATACATGAGTGATTAATTAATGAGTAGTTAGACTGTATTTGAAAAACACCATGTTATTTTTGTTTGTTTGTTTTTTCCTCATATAAAGGCAAGAGATGATATTGAAGATACTCATCTGTGGATCTGAGCGTATTAAATCAGGGATAGAGGGACCAAAGAAATTGCTTCATGCTGACTGCTGAGGGCACATGGGTTCCTTGTAATGAAATTATGCCCTTACAATTTTTGTTTTACAATAAAATTGCCTAGCACTTTGTGTTTTGGGGAGAGACCTTTCTATTTCACATTCCCCTCCACCCAGTATGAGGTAACCATTGAGAATACAGTGTCAGTTTCTTACCTTGAAGAAGGTCATTGTCGATCCATCTCTGACCGCCCCATATTCTATCTTGGTTTGCTTTGCCAGATCATCTGCAGAATCTATGGGGGATTCCATTCTCTCTACTGTCAAGAAGGCGGCCAGATTGGCAGTGTAGGATGAAATGATGATTAGGGTGAAAAACCACCATATCCCTCCAACTATTCGAGTCGATAGAGCTTTGGGCATCAGCTCTGATCCTGTGATGGTACCATCAGAGTAAGAGTGTTAAACGGAGTTAGGAAAAAAAGGAAGACTTATGATTTAAACTGGTCTAGGGAGATAATGCATTTTGGGGACATAAAAACTGTAAATCCATCAAGGACTTGCTGTCTTGCATGTAGGTGAAATTGATGCATTTTTTTTAAGAAAATGGAGCAAAATTTAAATGATTTTATCATTAATCACTGCTGCTGCTTAAAATGTAATTTATTGACATTTGATGGCATTAAATAGTTTTAACCCTGAGATAATCTATGTCTAAAATTTATAGTTAATTTATTGCTTAGATTTGAGTTTGTTTGCTTGTTTTGGTTGAAAAATCAGTCCCCAGACTTCTGACCTTTTATTACTGTCTAATATACATTTTATTGTGTGAAATAAATGTCCTAGGTATTTACACAACTATGAAAGCTTTGAAATGGTAACTTATTTTTATTTAAAGTTAAAGAATATGAGAAATTTTCAAAAGATTAACATGTCATGCAGTTTATTATATGTTCTTTAATAAAACAGTGGGATTTTACAAATCAATTTAAATAGGATGCAGTGATATCTGACAGTAGATGAATCTTTTTTATTGTCATATTTTACTTTTAGATTGAAAATTAGTTTTTCTAATGTAGGTTCTAATTTGACTGAAAAAGAATATATTCACTGAAAAGCATAATTTTCTCCTTAAAGTACTATTTCTTTCTTTCTTTTTTTATATTTTGATTGTATTTTTTTATTAAATTATTTTTTATTATGAAATACACATTTTTTAGAATTAGTTTCAGCTGTACAACACAGTGCAATAGTTATACTTTTTACCCCT